AGAGGCCTATGCGTAAGCATGACCATAGACGTATGATCAGACCCCATGACGTATGCATAACCGCAAGCATATGACATAACCATGAGAACAGCAACGGGGAATCCCGTGACAACAGCGGTGTAGGAATAATAATGAGTATCTCTAATCGTACGGGGTCGCCAACCTAATTGTGCGGGGTCCGCACAGACCACCTGCACGAGGCCACTGCAGGTGCAGGGCTCATGAGACCCGTTACAAGCAGGTGCGAAGGTTCACCCCTCTCCACCACCACTACCTCGTCGGTTACCACGCAACTGAGCGCGATCTGAAGCTATTCAGAAGCCTCTAAACGCACTAGAGGAATACCGTTGCATTATCATTAGTACACCATACTACCATCCACCCAACCCCCCACCCCCGCAACCAATCCGCCAAGATGGCTGACGACGGCGGCGGCGGGGCTCGCGGGCTCGGGGGACTACAGGAAGACGGGGAAGAGGTCGGGGACGAGGAAGAGGTCGCGGACGGGGACGAGGCCAGCAAAACAGAGTAGAGGAGACCCAAGGTGGTACAGGTCCTGAGTCTGGCGCAGCCATACAGCTCGGGACGCCAGCGCCGGACACCCCCTTGGCTAGTTGACAGATAGGAATGGATGCCTGATTTCCCTGCGATAGATCCCCACGGCCCCAATTCCCATTATCCCAAACCCATTTCCGGAAGGCGGTGGGTGCGGACCCCGTACAATTAGGTTGGCGACCCCGTACAATCAGAGATACTCATAATAATATATTATTATTCCTACACCGCTGTGCCCTAGGGCGTGCCGGACCTTCAACAACTTACTATACAGGAAAACCGCGCCCTCGTGGCCCGGGTGAAAAACCCATATCGACAATCAAGGAAACGATTGTGATGGGCTGAGCCCATGATGGCCTCGGCAACCCTCGGCCGTGGTATCATGATAACGTCATCCTGAGGCAGGCAGTGTCTGTGTGTTCCGGAGCATATAAGAGCTGCCCTGTCTTCCTGTCATCTAGTTCTCTCTTTTCTTCTTCTTTCTCCATTCGAGGCAAACTCGTAGAGTCGTCACCAGCTAGTTGCAATATACTCCTGGGACCGTTACAACGATCAGTGTGCGATCCTGCAAATACGAAGTGGGAAGGCCTCTTGGCCTTCGAAGGAAAGACTCATAATAATATATCATTGCGCTCAAGGACACAGTCGTCCCGTCCGTCCATCCGCATACCCGAGAAACGTGACAAACCGAAAAGGATATCATAGTTATCTATCTCCTTACTGGCGAGTATATCCGAAACAGCGACAAAACTTCGAAATCCCATCACTCATCTCAATCCGACCTTCGATGTTCTTGGAGGATTTCTCGCAAAGCCTTTCTATTTGATCATAGGCACCCCCCTAACAATTCTCAGGGTTGACCTAGGAAAACGGCCGTGAACTGTGCAAACATAACAAATGCCAGCAGCTCCTAGGCTCTAGCCTTAGGCTCCAAGTATCCCAATCAGCATCCGTCTTTCTGTGATACAGATCTCAGAGCCCGCAATTGTATCGTCGGATCGCCAGCAGTTGTCAAAGACAATTCCCGCAGTGCGAGCGATGTCGTTGCTAAGGAGTTGCGTTCATTATTATAGTTCCGCCGAACGAGACGAAGACGACAATTATTAATAGCATAACTCACCAGTTTACCGACTGGGGAATCTGGGTTCCTCGACTCGCTTGAATCTGTGCGCCACCAATGCGGCACATCTGAATAGCGGGCCCTGTTCAGTAATGTTAGTTACTCCATAGCAGGGCCCATCCAATGAATTGGGGTTGAACTTACGGTCCGCTGGAATGCCGCAGTTGATGCCGCTTTGGCCCTTGCGGGCAAGGTAGTCAACACAGGCTGCAGCATCCCGCCCCTGGATAAAGATAGCATGAACGCGTTAGCATCAAGTCCGCCCTACCAAAAGGTATTCATAACACAGCGAAGGAGACCCCGTACAGGTGCGCGTTTCCAACCGTCCTGATCGCACCATGCCCTCTTCTGAAGGCCAGCTGCGGAGCCAATTATGTCAGCGGCGCGGGCAGCTGCGACGGCCTCGTCGACCGTGAGAGCCGCGTCGGGGTTGGTGATGATGTCCTCAACCCACTGCGCAAAAGAGAACGTTGTTGGAGATGTTGCGGCAGGGACTGCAGCGACCGATGCCGCCATGGCCAGGGCAAGTAGGGGAATAGCTGTTTTGACCATTTCGACGGGTCTCTTGGCCTTGAGTTGGACTTGAGGTTTGGGAAGCGGCTGAGAGTAGGTAACGGCGGGAACTTCCCTACTATAAATACCTCAATCATAGGTACTCTGCAGCGTGGCCCTGAACCGTTGACCGCGTCCGAGTCCGGTTAAGTTCGAGCCTTTTATTTGACGTCTCCCTGCCTTTTTTTTATCAATTCCCCCTGTACTTTACTTAGCCCATTCCAGATTCCCAGCCACACCAGCATTTTGTAATAATCACTACCAATCATCATGGTACACCGAATTTTAACGTTGATTCAGTTAACGTGATCCACCATTGACTCGGACACCCCATTGACTCGGACACATTTTCCCCCACCATAACCACCCAACTTCAACACGCGTTTTCTCTACCACAACAATGTCCGACAGCTTCCCAGAAAACCGAGTTCTTCTCGCGATCAATGCGATTCGATCAACACCGCGCTTGAGTATCCGACGCGCCGCAGAGATATACAATGTCCCCAAGTCGACAATTGCAGATAGAATGAAGGGAAAGATCGCGAAGTCCGACAGCTATCACGGCCGTTCGAATTTGACGAAGATCGAAGAGGAGGCGATTGTTCAA